AATTTGCAGTTCCGCCAAGTTTTACAACAACACCAAGCGATCTGACTATTCGGGAAGATGATGAAGCAAGTTTTCATTGTTCTGCTACTGGGAACCCATCTCCCACAATTACATGGATGAAAGATGGAAAGACTGTGACTCAAGGAGATACGCTGAGGTTTTCGGCCAAACGAAATCAGTCTGGGGAATATTGGTGTTTGGCGGAGAATGGGCTGGGTGTGAATATCACTGCTACTGCCTCTCTTAATGTACAGTGTAAGTTTACGGAACACTTTATATTCGTCGAATTTGCTTAATGAGTAAACATTGCTTTTTAGTAATGTAAACCATGCTTTAAACTAAAAATTTCGCTGGAATTTGAAGCCAAAAAGCTACAAAAATATAGAAACTACCACTAACGTGATATAGTCTTTGTTATAGCCTTTGATGTTTAAGCAACTTTTCTTAACTGGCGTCTTTGGAAGTGAAAATAGGTTACTTGTCTTAACTTTTGAGTTAAACTATTCTATTATGACTTTCAATTATCATTGGCTTGTCCCCTTCGAGTTTTTCGAGTTAAGTTCCGCCTGGCAAAGGACAAAACAAACGAAAACAAGATGAGCCTTTGAAGGCCTGAACCCAAAACCATAAACTTAAGATACGGTTGGAATTGAAAGTATTGTGGAACGTTGTGATTGAATATTTCATTTATTATTTATTTCATACTCAGTTGCACCAAGTTTAACCTCAACACCAGCTGACCAGACAGTGATCGAGGGAACCAAAACAACATTCCACTGTAATGCCTCAGGGAACCCATCTCCAAAGATAACTTGGTCAAAAGATGGAAAGACTGTGACTGAAGGAGAAACTCTGAGCTTTGAAGCGAATAGGAATCAATCTGGAGAGTACTGGTGTTCTGCAGAGAACGGATTAAATGTGACTGTCAATGCCAGCGTCCATCTTGATGTTCAATGTAAGTATAGCTTGGTGCGGCGCTACTGTTGTTGGAGTCAGTGAAACAAAGTAAAATGATCACAGTGAAGGAAACAATAATTCGATCG